CTCACCGCCGCTGCAGACAGTGTTTAAGGGAAATGGGCTTCGGGGGTCATGAAAGTGATTATTCATCTTTGCCACTACAGAGATGTCCCCTTCATGGTGACAGGGTCACCAAGAAGAATCACTTAAATGGGGAATCATGCAAAGGTTAATTGAAGGAAAAGGAAACAATGGGCATTTATTATATTTTGCTAAATTAGGCTTTCCCCCTCTCAAACTATACGGGACTTTTTCCAGATTAATTGTCCAAACAAAAAGGTTTATGTATGTTGACAAGCAGCGTGATTTATTCAGAACTCATAATCCGTGATCTAAAGTATGTGTAAGTAATAACTTCAGGTTGAATATCTCATGTCTCTCTAACTACTTGCTCTGACATTTAAAGAATGGGGGGAGGAGTTTGGTTTTAGACAGTATCCATGATTAGTAGTACTTCTGTATGATGTTCCTCAAGATCTAGTTTTCATAAGCAAAATCACCCAACTGACCTTCTCACCCAAGATACAAACATAGTGATGCTCATCAGTAATATAGCAAAGTGTCAAGATTTAAAAACTGGCATTATTGACGGGGAAAAAAAAAGTAAGGTTAAATCTTCCTAAACAGTAAGACTAGGCAGTTGTATTTTTTAAAAGAGAAAAAAGAAACAGCATTGCAGATTTCCCTGCTAAGGCAACAAGGACTCTATTTGGTAGTTACACCTGGATTTCCAGGTTAGAAAATGGGGATATGTACTAGTAATGTATTTTGTAGTGGTTTACAAGAATTATTTTTTATTTCTTGAAGTTGAATTGGAAGAAGTCGTATTCATCAAAGAAGACAACTGTGAAAAGCAACATTTGATTTTAGGGTTTGGTGCACTTAGGAAAAAAAAGGCTGGTTAGAAGGTACAAGGGGAAAGGAAGAGGCACTGAAATGTCCACGCATGGACAATTTTCAGAATCAATCTTTCATTCCAGCATCTTGTACAGTGTTTGTTAATGAATAAGAGCCTCAGAGAAACAGCTTCCCATATAGAGATAAGGAAAAACAATGAA